CTGGCATTTTGTAGATTGATGTTAATACAGTAATGTTTGAGTGCCACTTTTGTGACTGTTCAAGGTGGTGTACCTGTTGTTAATGCATCACATGTTCAGACATTGTTTTGTGCCAGTGCTGGTGACAATACCACTTTGTCCAGTGGGAAAGCTGGCCTCACACTCAATGAGGAAACACTTTATCAAAGGGGAAAAAAATGGAAATGAGCCACTACCTATGGCTTCAGATTAAATTAACCTCAAGAACTCAGAAGCTTCAGTGACTCCTATGCAGCATCTTGTGCTTTAATATCTGTGCTGTATTAATGCAAAAAATATTGATTTGGCACCTACTATGTATAATGCAGTATGTCCTTATTCCGATTAACCTAAGATATAAAAGATGAATACCTTCTATTTTTTGCCCTCAATAAACTTAGGAAAAGAGATGATGCATATATAGAATTATCTTTAACAGCAGGAAGCAGTGGTGTATGCTATTGCAGACATAGAGATTAAAAAAAAAAAATGTGGTGATATATCAGAGGAAGGGGAAGTTGCAGTTTTACCTGAAGGGCCAGGAGAGTATTCATGAAGGAGGTAAAATTGGAATAGAATCTCAAGGAATGTTTAGGATTTGAACATATGGAACTGGGTTGGGGTAATTTTAGGGAGGAAAAAAAAAAACTACATAAACCAGCAACAAGAGAGAGAAATACTGAGATATATTTTGCACAGAGGGGTCTCACTAGAGTTGCAGGATCCATGAACAAGAGTCTTGGGTAGAAAGTTATGGTTGGTCACAGTGCAAAGGAGGCTCAAGACTGAGAGAGATTGTGAGGTTTGGTAAATAAGGTAATAAGCTGGCCATAGGGCATCGAGGCAGTTTGATCTGACGGCAATTGATACGTTGGAGTGAAGAGGGTAGTAAGCAAGGATTCAAAGAATGACTAGGAACCAGTAGCATAGTCTTTGAGAATGCATTGGGAGCAAGAATCACTGTCGTGGCCATGGGCTGAATAGGGAGAGACACCAGGGATGCAGTATGGAATAAATGTTCACAATCCATTGAACACGAGGGGGAAAGAGATGCAGAAGAGTCAAAGACTGATATTGTAAGGAAATAGGTGAGTTTGATTAATAAGATAAGGGGTCCTGTGTAAGCTATCTTGTATGTAAAGAATCCACAAGAGTTGAAGAATAAACAGCCCATGAACAATTAGCAATGTACATCCGAAATAAATATAAAAATAAAACCAGAAATGGAATTTTACTTTTTTTGGGGGGGGGGAAGATAATCTGAATGGATATCATAGTTGAAGTATCTTTGTTTTGAGTTTTCAGTGGTTTATTACTTTCCATGGCTTACTACTGAGGAGAGAAGAAATCAAGGCCAGGGTTAGATTCATGGGAACGTCTACACTAACAAGGGAGAGCATGGAAAGGAAACCCCACCCCTCACCAAAAAAGACCTCCAAGCAATCAGGAGTAATCAGAGGCAACTGAGGTGCAGAGAGCCAACAACCAGGTGTGGGTAGGTGGGCTCAGAAAGGCTGTGCCCGGCTAGCAGAGGTAATTTTGCTGAAATCTACAAATTTGGCTTTTAATGGAGGAAGGCTTACTTAACTATGGCCAAAAACATACATTTCCAAAGCAGAGTTCTTTCAGTGTTTACCAAAATGTTCCCTGGCATGAACTGCTACTGCTATTTCACAGCCACAGGCTCCTAATATCCTAGCAGAACATGTTATCAGTGGACACTGCTGCTTACTGCCCTGGAAGAGCCCTCACTCACAAACATAATGGGTGCTTTTCCTAGGAGTTCTCTAAAAGCCCAAAGACACGTTAGGGGTTTTGGCTTCACTATCCCCCCGCCCCGCTAAAGGAAAAACTGCACGGCTGCAGGTCCAGCAAACACTGCTTCTTTTTGCATCCGGACCATCTGCTGTAGACCAAGGGTTCTTCATCTGAGGCCACTGAATATCCTGGCCAGTTATCCATGTGTATGTATTTTTCTGAAAGGTTGATTTACCCTTCTCCTAATTCTTAAAAGACTTATTTTCTTAAAAAGGTAAGAACCAGTATAATACATTTTATACTCCGGCACAATGATGTGAGTTTCCTGAGGACAAAAGCCTGTTTCTATGTATTTTCATATGTTGGTATTACCTCTGTGATCTTGGCTGAATTCATAGATAATGGTGCTATACTAGATGGGCCAACAGCAATGATAAAATACTCATCTTAGTTCTACAGCCTCTTTTTTGACTTGGCAACTATGCCTACAAAATGTATTTTCTCATAATAATGTTCACCATTAGTAAAACTTGTAGCTTAAAATCAGTAGCTCACACATTTTTTGTAAAATAGTTTTGTGAGGTAGGGACTTTCCAAGTTTTTAGAGAATGCACGTGACTTGTTGAAGGCTATACAGCATAATATCAGACCTGGGACTTAAATCCAAGTCTTGTTCTCCAAGTTGCATATTTTCCTGTTTATCCAAACACTGGAGAAGGAGTTTACTTTAGTGGTTGAGGCACTGTCAAGTGATTTAAGCTCTAGTCCTGGCTCTACAACTTCATATGACATTGCCAAGTTCCTAACATCTCTAAGATTGCATTTCCATTTATAAAATGGGGGCAGTAAGAGTTCCTTCTTAAAGGGTAATTACAAAGTTTAAATAAGATATATTCTGTAAGTATGTGTAAAATGTTAGCTATGATTATCTCATGATGTTTCATTTGTAAATAAAAATGCCTATAAACATATGATAGGCCTACCTTTGTTTTCTGGAATGTATTAATTGGTCATTGATCGGGATTTTTTTTGGTTTTTATGAAGAAAATATTTTTAATAGCCTGAAACATGAGCTTGTCCTAAAGGCAGTAGTTTCTAAATAGCTGTCTTATTGACTAACAGAAACAACTGTCATATAATGAATTTAGTTTCTTTGTTTTGTACTAGATAATAAGTAGTGTTAAATGAGTAATGAGGCCTAGGTTTGGCCCTTCAGCAAAGATGGTATAGTGCAGTGATTAAGATGATGGGCTTTTGAATCTGACTGGATTTGAATTCTACTAAGTAGCATTACAATCTATGCACTAAATACTAGATATGTCTTAAGTCCTTTTATAACTTACGGGAGGACTTGTTACAATTTCCTCCTGAACCTAGAGAGAGAAATTTCCATCTATTCTATTTCTATCTAGTCCTAGAATTTTCTGGAGCACAAAAAAAAAAAGTGAGAATGCTCCAGCAACTGCAGCCTTCCAATGATGGTAGGCTCTTAAGACCTGGCTTCTGTCCCAGGGCTGCATGAGGTACATAGCTTGCCCTGCCCCAGTAGCAGCCACTCCATTAGCAGCAGGGGTTGTAAGAGTCCATATTGACTCATGCCTTCATATACAAGCTAGAATTATTCAAATCTAAATACAAAAGCAGGAAGGTAAGGGTTAGGGGAGAGGACCTTGGGAAAAATAAATAAATAAGTAAATAAATAGATGCCTCAAACTCGAAAATGTGAAGAACTTATAAATTGACCAGGCAGTTCTCTGAAATTGGAATTTCAAACATTATAGGACTAATTAGGATCTTCTGACGCAAAACCCTGTTGGAAATAAACTGTTCTTCAGTTAAATGTGTATGGACTCTCTTATTTGATTAATGGAGGAGACTGTTAATGCCGAGTCCTAATTAAAATGCAGTTTTCCTAATGTGTTTATTCAATGGCAGTTTATGTATTATTTTAATGATGAGTTTCAAAACTGATCAAGAGTAAATAAGTTACTTAATTATTTGAATAAACAGTTTTGCTTTCCAGATGCCTGCAGTGACAGAGTGGGAGAATACAAGGAAAAGGGGGGATCCTGTCCCCAGTGTGTACTGGTCAGGCTATTAGTGGAGAGACAGGGCTGCTAGAATACTGGCATGTTGAGAGGCAAAAATGAAACTCAGAAGGATCGGGAATAATGTTTTCTTTTCCCAAGGGAAAAATGGGACTTTGATGCCCTTCTGTTTGGTTCTAGAATTGTCTAATCCTGATAGTTAGAATTGCTCATTTCAAAAACAACCACCAATTGGTTAGTATAAGCTGAAATGGTAACATAAGCCTGAGTATTAAAGGACCATTTTGTAGCAAGAATTCAACTTCATTCTCAACTTTGGCTAGTGGTTCCTCCCTGGCCAAAGATTGTCACTGAAAACAGTAACCTCATAGGGAACCAGCACGTGAGGAACAATTCACAGGCTTGTGTTGAGTCTGCGCCTTCTCTATTTGGTTATCACTTTCCATGAGTTCTGTAACCTGGGCAGAATAAACTGAGACTTGTGGCATGGGTGTGTCTGATCTCTTTTTATCAACTGATAACCTAGTTGTAAGGTGTATTTATTTAATAAATTGTAGTAAATGGGTAAAGCATCATTTTCAAATGCCTAATTTCACTAGTTCATCTCAAGCCCTGTAAACATCTTTGGAATTTCATTACCCTTGTCCTAGAACTATGTACCTTATTAGAAGCTAGGATAAGTTGGTTCAAAATCATGATCAAAATGTGTGGTGAGGCTATGAAGTTATTAAACTAGCCTCACCAAGCATGACTTTAGAATTACTTGTATATGTATTTTTACTTACTCTAAATTTCATGAAGGTGAGGATCATGGTTATCTTGTTCCTGAAAGAATCCTCAGAACTTAGCAATGTTATTTGTTTATTTGAATATTAATTGAATCATTAGAGGTAGGACTTTCGAGGTTGGGGGATTAACTTGGTGGTGGAGTGTGTTGCTTGGCATGCATAAGGTCCTGGGTTCAATTTCCAGCACCAAAAAAAAGAATAAAGAAAAAGAAGGACTTTCCAACACATCCTTTAATGAGGCTTTGTTTTATAGTTATTAATATTATGAATGTTTAGAAATGTTTGGCTCACTTCACAAATTTTCCAAGAAATAATCTCTTATATATTTACCTTATACTCTATAGCTTTGAGATAACTGGCAATTAATATGCAAATTATTGTTTTTTAGGCTTGAACCTACTCCAGTATGGCTTTCCTTGGACTATTCTCTTTGCTGGTTCTATACAGTGTGGTGGTGGGGGCCACTTTCTCTGAAGATACCATTGCTGAGTTGTCAGTGAATATGTATAACCATCTTCGAGTCACCGGGGAAGATGAAAATATTCTCTTCTCTCCATTGAGTATTGCTCTTGCCATGGGAATGATGGAACTTGGCGCTCAGGGGTCCACTCTAAAGGAAATCCGCCATTCAATGGGATATGACAGCCTGAAAAATGGTAAGTGTGCTTGAGTTTGATTTCTCAAGATGGTTTGGCTTTATCTTTGAACTCAATTATGTTGTCCTATGTCAGAGACAGCAATGTTTTACTCAGGGCAAGAAATGATCTTATGAGATGACATGGCCAACTTGGAGGATTAAGAAGAAAGAAAGGTTGATTTGCTAATTCCTGACTCCATCTTGGCTGAGTGAATCTAGGGAAATTCTTTCTTTTCAAAATTATTATCATTTCAAAAAACCCCAAAGTGATATAAACAAAAGCAAAAATAATTCTGGAGTTTCCTATCTAGAAAGGCCTGTATTCATCAATTATGATACAAATGAATGCAAAATGACAACTGTAATAAGTGCGATGAAGGCAACTTGGTTTTCTGAGAATATCAGAAATTTTTGCTTAAAATCAACTTTATACTTACTGTATAAATAACAATAATTTTTTGAAATGCTCTATTATTATTAAACTTATGTATTAGAGAAAATTTCTAGCCAAAAGATCTTTTATAGTCATTTTGATATGATGTATGATGTCTATTGTAAGTTTTCTAGTGTATACATGAATTAATTCATTAAAAAGTTAAGAACGAGGGGCTAGAGTTGTAGCTCAGTGGTAGAGTGCTTGCCTAGCACTGGTGAGGCACTGTGTTCGATCCTCAGCACCACATAAAAATAAATAAAATAAAGGTTTTTTTGTTTTTTTTTTTAAAGAAAGTTAAGAACTAAAACAATTTCCAATGTATTTTCTAGTTACAAGATTTGAAAAGTCCTATGAGAGTAAAATTTAAAGGAATATCTTGAATTTTAAACTAGATAATTAAACTTAGTGCTTCTGATAATTTCAAAATAAAATAAGACTCATTTAATGAGAGTAACCTGAGTACTTTGAGACAGAACTTAAAAAAAAAAACACTCTTACTTTGTAAATTCTAGCAAGATAATGAAATATAAAATAATATTAGTTGAGAATATTAAGCTGCAAAAAGTTAATTTGAACATCTAGAACTGACATAAGCATTGGAAACACTTTACCATTGCCAATGTAGAGAGTGTCCTGCTGTTTTTTCCTTGGGTCCCTGTTCTCCTAATGTCCTTTGCTGGGTTGTAATGTTCTTTCACTATCCTTGATCTTTTGCCATGTTTGTTCCACTAACAAATTTGTCTTTGTCATCTTGCAGGAGATGAACTTTCTTTTTTAAAGGATTTTTCAAACATGGTAGCTGCTGAAGAGAGCCAATATGTGATGAAAATTGCCAATTCCCTCTTTGTGCAAAATGGATTTCATATCAATGATGAGTTTTTGCAAATGGTGAAAAAATACTTTAATGCAGAAGTAAATCATGTGGACTTCAGTCAAAATGTAGCTGTGGCCAACCACATCAATAAGTGGGTGGAAAATAACACAAATAGTATGTTCTTTCTTTCTCTAATAGCTTAGTTTTAAGCATCTTTTATTTCTGAAATTATCTGTCCCCTCACTCCTTTCACATTTTGAATGTTAGATAGCATTGAGTTGGGTATGCAATGACAATTTTGTGTAGGCTACAGTCCATTTTAGAGATATTGCTTATGAATGAACACTAAGGAAGAAGTTAGATCTTTAGGCATTGGAAAGGATTTGGGCACTAATCACTTGAAATCTGAGCTCTTACTGATGGGTTTCTGAATAGTAATGGTAAGTACTATATGGAATGTTGCTTGAGCTGACTAATAAATTATTATTAGATTAGAATGGCAGAGGTTACTCTTAGCAATATGATTAAAATAGAATTAGTTAAAATCAGAATTCAAAGATATTTACTGGCTTTTGAACCACAGAAATTGATTGATTATAAAACAATTTGAGTAGGATTTATTTTTTTAAAAGCAGCCCAATTTTAGCTGGAAATTAGAAAAAGATATATTTTATTTTAAATTTCATTTCTTATATGTATTTAAGATTTACAGATGTTTCATATTTTAACCATTTTATTTTCTAGTTTTTTACCCACACAAATAAATGAAATTAAAATCTAAAAAGACTAATTAAAGGTAGATTAGCTGTTCATTACATCAATTCCCCAAATAATGGTAATCTAAAATTTTAAGTTGGAAACAAACAAACAAACAAACAAAAACCCTAATCAGATACACTGAACACTATAATTCATAAAATGCCGAGACATCCTGTACCTTAAGAATTGCTATGACCAGGGGCTGGGGTTGTGGCTCAGAGGTAGAGCACTTGCTTAGCATGAATGAGGCACTAGGTTCGATCTGCAGCACCACATAAAAAAATAAAATAAAGACATTAAAAAAAATAAGAATTGCTATGACCAAGAAAATGAGAGACTACAGAGCAAGTTTTGGTCCTGTTTTTCAATGATGAGATTAAAATGTAGAATAGAAGATATGAATTTTAGTGGTTTTCTTTTTCTTTGTCTTTTTTTTTTTTTTGGCATTCAGATAATAAAAGCAAGAATAATAACCTACCTGAAAAAGGTTAAATTATTAAAATCTGTCAGTTTTCAAACTCTTTTAGACACATTTAGCAAACAGCAAAGACTCAATATCTTTCAAAATCGATTTGAGCATTTCAAAAGATAGAAAACAATGCATCATGAGTTCCATTCGCTTTGGCTCATTTGATGTCACCTCATCAGGTGCAGTTGTTGCATTGACAGGAAGATGTCCAGTATTCTCAGGGAGAAAGTTTGGATTGGATAGCATTTAATCAGCTGTTCACCCATACATTTAGAAACATTTGAGTGCTAACTTTGTGTCAGGAGTGTCATATGCACTATTGCAACTAGATAGCCATGAAGGCTGAGATTCTATCATATATGTCTCTGTAGTTTGGGTGTCAAAAAAAAAAAAAGATGATGTTAAGTTGATGTTAGTATTATGTTAGGTAGCATTGTTGTTTTGATACCCTTAATTGTCAATTCTATAATCACATATATGTGTAACATTTTTCCTTTGACAGATATTTTTTATTTTTTTATTTTAAATTTAGTGTATAATTTTTATGGACAACTCTGTTAGTGGATTGATAATCTTTTGATTTCCCCTTCAATTTCCAATTTAACTAAATTTTCATCTGTTTATGTTTCTCCAAATAGATCTGCTAAAAGATTTGGTGTCCCCAAGGGATTTTGATGCTGCCACTCATCTGGCCCTCATCAATGCTGTCTATTTCAAGGGGAACTGGAAGTCACAGTTTAGACCTGAAAATACTAGAACCTTTTCCTTCACTAAAGATGATGAAAGTGAAGTACAGATTCCAATGATGTATCAACAAGGAGAATTTTATTATGGTAAAACATTTTGTGTTTTTTTTTTTCTTTCCTCTTGTAGCATATTGACAGATTTCTAAGAAAGAACATGAAATATTCACTACTCACACTCTTTGTTGATCTAATTTGGGCTACAATTCAGTTTCCTTGGCTACATTTTCAAAGACTTGTAATTAGATATTGAATGAATATCATATACATTGACAGTTTTCCAATATGTGTTTCTTAAATTTATAAAGCTGATCCCACCTGCTGAGTGGGCTTTATTCATCCAAAAAAAAAAAATCTGGCATTCTGCAAGAATGTTCTGATTTATTCTATAAATCACTGACTTTGGGATGTTTTTAGTATACTATGTGATTCATTAAAAGATTTGAGTTTCTTATCACCTTTTGATTTATAAGCATTCTTCTTACACAAGAACTTTTCTATATCTTTAAAATTTTGATAGATATCAAGTGTGTGTGTGTGTGTGTGTGTGTGTGTCCCCAGAAATCATTGTTCCTTCACAGTTTCAATTATTGATAGTCTACAGTTTGTGGTCAAATATATTATTTAATTTCTTTGGCATTATTTTCAAAGATGTTTTATGGCACCCTTTAAAGTTTCTTCCTAAATACAAAATTGAATTGTAATAATTTGTTAAGTCATAAGCAGAAATGTATTTTAAGCCAAATATATGTTAGAATATTCTATTTCAGAGTATGTTTAATGTTGAAAGACTATAATTCCTGTTAATCAAGTTAACAGTCAAATTATGCAAGAAAAATACCCACTTATATGAAAATCAAAATGTTTAGTTTGATGTCTAAAAAAACCTATGTCCACTATAGGAAAATATTCATAACAAAAGCATTACACTTATTTTTGAAAATGGAGAAAACTTACAGCAGTGGGACATAAGTTTTATTTTTGTTGCTGTTTTTAAAAAGATTTTTTAAAGCCCAAATAATTTGGCTAAGTTCATATAATACAAAGCCAATTTACCGTGTTTACCTAATTACCTAATTTGGAGATCTTATTCATCATAAATACACTAGACGACTCTTGAAGGAGGCTTAGATTTCATTTCAGCTGTGTACCCTTGGCCTTAAAATTTAAAGTTGTGGTGATATCAGAGTACCAAGTATTTCAAAGTCAGGTTTCCCATTCTTTGAAAATAGGCAGAGGCTGGCTCAGTGGCGCATGCCTGTAATCCTAGCAGCTCTGGAAGCAGAGGCAGGAGGATTGGGAGTTCAAAGCCAGCCTCAGCAATTTAACTAGGCACTAAGCAATTCAGTTGAGACCCTGTCTCTAAATAAAATACAAATAGGGCTAGGGATATGACTCAGTGGTCAAGTGCCCCTGAGTTCAATCCCCAGTACCCCCACCCCCACCAAAAAGGGCAGATAATGATAAATGTGCTTTGTGTCCAACTTGAAGCCAGGGCTTTGTTGTTCTAACCAGAGTTTTTCATTGTTGCTAATGATACTCTTTAAATATATTGAAAAATCTCATTAAAAAAATAAGTTTAGAGAATAGGTTATAACTATGTGAAATAATTCTGAGGATTTTAAAATTAAATAAATTTTACAGGACTGAGGAATCATTTAAATTTCAGGGTGTATTTTCAAATGAACTCTTTTTTTCAGATGACAGAATTTCTTATTTCACACGAACTAGAACAAGAAAGTTATGATAAATTTAATTTTTTAATGGGTCTTTTATGATATTTCTTTCCTTTTCTTAGGGGAATTTAGTGATGGATCCAATGAAGCTGGTGGTATCTACCAAGTCCTAGAAATACCATATGAGGGAGATGAGATAAGCATGATGCTGGTACTGTCCAGACAGGAAGTTCCACTGGCCACTCTGGAGCCATTGGTCAAAGCACAGCTGATTGAAGAATGGGCCAACTCTGTGAAGAAGCAAAAAGTGGAAGTATACCTGCCCAGGTGAGGGGTCCTATGTGATCCCTCCCACAGCATGAGGGGATGGGTTGACTCAGAAACATTCTTGCAATTGTTTTTGAATTTTTAAGTGTCCTCCTCTCTCTCCTTCCCCACCTCTTTCTTCTTTTCCTTTTTCTGCTCTTTCAGATTCTTTCATACGCAAATGGTCCTGCTCAGAGACATACATTCATTTATTGATTCATTCAGTACAATATACAAGACCCATGTTCAGATATGATTCAATATCCTTAGCTTCATTCTATAAGATTTTTTTTCAACCAAATGTCTCCAAATTTCATTTGCTTTGACAGTCTTTTGTAAATCGTTATGAAAGTTGATTACAGCTCAAGAGAAAACTATCTCTGTCATTAAGAACTGCAAGAAAGTCACTTTGCTAGGTGCTGAGATATAACCATAAATAAGCAAGAAGAAGCAACTGTGCTCACAATGAATAAGGTCCGTGCTACCAGAATGTCCTGACCACCATTCACTCCATCTGCCTCACCTCTGGCCACTCATCACATCAACATTTGGTAGCATGTTCTATCCATGTGCTTGTAGTATTGCCATATGCACCTGTTCTTTTCATGTCTGGGTCTCCATTTATTTGCATTAACCAAAATGTCCTCCTCACATTTTGTTGCCCCAAATTGTTTATTTAGGCTTTAGGATCACCTTGGACACAGTTCTTCTAGAAAGCCCTCCATGAAGTGCCTGTTGAAGTGGGTGATCCTCCCTCTTGCTTACTTTTGCACCTCCGTATTATTATCTGTTACCATCCCACAATAACGTTATCTTTTGTGAGTCTTGCTTTCCTTCTGTGATTTAAGAGTAGTGCCACTTTTCTGACCCATTAAAGGGACATGGTAAGTGAAAATATTTATTCTATCTTTGAATACCTTAAAACCTAGTAGGAAAGTTACATCAGTTACCACATATAACCTGTCTATTGACATAATGTGTATATTTCAACTAGAAAACAAGACATATCAGTATATAACAGATCATCTATGTGTATATGTGGCAGCACAGTTTTAACTCTCATTAAGAAAATGTGTTCATATATGAATATTGAAAGTTGGTAAATAAGACAATAATATTGAAGCTGAATTATTAAAACTCATTCATATTTATTCTGATTTAGGAATTTTTATTTAAATGTTAGTTATGTCTTATGTAAATGCCTATTTTTCAAAAAAACTTAGTTGATTTTTTGGTGTATGTTAAGGAGATCTATTTGAAACTGCAGATATTTTTGGCTAGAAAGTTATGTTATATATTCATAATCTACCCCAACATAACATATAACCACACATACCATTGTCTGCTTATAAAAAAGATAATAACAACCCAAATTGCTCAATTATTTTAGTTTTGGCTAGGAGATTAATATGTATCATTTTCCTTGACAGTAGTTTTCTTTTTTTAATTAAAGCTTTATAGTTATACATAGTATCAGAGTTCATCCTGACAAACATATATCAGGCAAATTGATTTCAGTTCATGATCCCCACCCTTTTCTCCTCCCATCTGCCTTCCCCTCCCATGTTCTCTTTCCTCCACTCTCCTAGGCTTTCTTTCACTCATCTGTTTGTTTGTATTTGATTGCTTTTTTCTCCCTGTGCATAAAAGTGAAGTTCCTTGTGGTATATTTATATATGCACATATATGAGTTTTAAAGAATTCATTCTGCATTGCCTCCCCTTACCTATCCCTCTACTCTGTCTCTTGATTTCTTTCTTCTACATTACTGATCTTCCCTTTATGTTATCCTATCCTTCCCTCCTCTTTTTCTTTATTTTATTGTAGCTTCTGCATATGAGAGAGCATTTAACCTTTGAGTTTCTGAGTTTGCCTTCCTTTGCTTAACATTATAGTCTCCCTTTTCCATGTATTTACTGGTAAATGCCATAATTTTATTCTTTTATTATGGCTGATTAGAACTCCATTTTGAGTAGAATATATATATATATATATATATATATATAGAGAGAGAGAGAGAGAGAGAGAGAGAGAGAGAGAGAATATATATATATATATATATATATATAGAGAGAGAGAGAGAGAGAGAGAGAGAGAGAACGAGAGAGAGAACTCCATATATATGGATTTATATATATGTGAATTGTGCTTCCATAAACATTAAGGTGGCTATATCACTGTATATAGCCACCTTAATGTTTATATACCAATCTTAGATCTTTTAGGAAAATACCAGAGAGTGAGATAGCAAGGTCATTTGGTGGTTCTATCCTTGGTTTTCTGAGTAATCTCCATACTACTTTGTAGAGTGGTTATACTAGTCTTCACTCTCACCAAGAATGTACAAGTGTACCTTGCCCCCCACAACCTCACCAGCATTTATTATTATTTGTATTCTTGATCATTGCCATTCTGACTCCTGTGAGATGAAATCTTAGTGTAATTTTGATTTGCATTTCCCTGATTGCTAAAGATGTTGAACAAACATGTTTTTTGGCCATTTGTGTTTTTTTCTTTTTAGGAAGTTTCTGTTTAGTTCTTTGCCCGTTTATTGACTGGGTTATTTTGGGGTGTTTTTTTGTTTGTTTGTTTGTTCATTTTTTTGGTGTTTTTTGAGTTGTTTGTAAATTAATCCCTTATTGGAGGAGTATCTGACCAAGAATTTCTCCTACTCTATGGCTCTCTCTTCATGTTCTTCCTCATTTCCTTTGCTGTGCAGAAGCTTTTTGGCTTGATAGCATCCCACTTATTGATTCTTGGTTTTATTTCTTGTGCTTTGGGGGTCTTGTTAAAGAAGTTGGTGCCAGCACCTATGTGATGGAATGTTGACCATTTTCTTCTAGAGGTTGTAAGGTTTCTGGTCTGATACCTAAGTCTTCAATCTATTTCAATTTGAGGTTTTTTGCAGGGTGAAAGATAGGTTTCCAGTTTCATTTTTCTACATATCCAGTTTTCCCAGCATCATTTGTTTAAAAGGCTGTCTTTTCTCCACAATTTATTTTTGGCACCTTTGTCAAATATCAGTCCTCTGTAGGTATATGGATTTATCTCTGCATATTGTATTCTGTTCCATTGATCTTCCTGTCTATTTTGATGCTAATACCATGCTGTTTTTGTTACTACAGCTCTGTAATATAATTTCAGATCAGGTATTGTGATGCCTCCTGCTTTGCTTTTCTTGCTTAGTATTTCTTTGGCTGTTCTGATTCTCTTATTCTTCCAAATGCATTTGAGAATTGTTTTTTCTAATTCTGTGAATAATGTCATTGGTATTTTGTTGGGAACTGCATTAAATCTGTATATTGCTATTGATAGTATGACCATTTAAATAATATTTATTCTGCCTATTCAAGAACATGGGATCTTTCCATCTTCTAAGGTTTTCTTTAATTTCTTTTTCAATTTTCTTTGATTTTCATCATAGAGCTCTTGTATTTCCTTGGTTAGATTAATTCCCAAGATTTTCTTTTCTTTTGAGATTATTGTGAATAGTGCGATTTTTCCAATTTCTTCCTTGGTTGAAACACTGTTGTAGTATAGGAAAGCTATTTATTTTGGGGAATTGATTTTGTATCTCCTACTTTGCTAAATTCATTTATAAGCTTTAGAAGTCTTCTGGCAAAGTTTTCTTTTTTGGGGAGTGGGGGTCTTCTAAATACAGGATCATGTCATCAACAAAGAGAGATAGTTTGACTTCTCTTATTTGTAGCCCTTTAATTTCCTATTCTTGTCTGATTGTTCTGGCTAATGTTTCAAGGATTGTATTGAATAGGAGTAGTAAGAGTGCATTGTCTTGTTCCTATTTTAGAGGAAATGCTTTTAGTATTTCTCTATTTAGTATGATATTGGCTTTGGGTTCCGTTGTAAGTGGCCTTTACAATGTTGAGGTAAATTCTAAATGGGTGCTGGATTTTATCAAAAGCCTTTTCTGCATCTATTGAGATGATAATTTGATTCTTGTCCTTACTTCTAAGTGGTGAATTAAATTTATTGATTTGCCTATGTTGAACCAATATTGCCTCCCTGGAATGAAACCTAATTGATCATGGTATATCATTTTTTTGATGTTTCTGAATGCAGTTTGCTAATATTTTATTAAGGGTTTTTGTCCCTATATTCCCTGGGAATATTGGTCTGTAGTTTTCTTTCCCTGGTGCATCTTTCCTTTTTGGTATCAGGGTTATATTGGCTTCATGGCATGTATTTGGGAATGTTCCTTCGCTTTCAATTGTATGGAAAATTTTGGAAAGACTGGTGTTAGTTCTTCTGTAAAGGTCTGGAAGAACTCAGCTGAGAATTCATATGGCCTTGTGCTTTTATTTTGGAAGATTTTAATTGCTGTTTCAATTTTATTACTTGATATTGGTTTCTTTAGGTTTTCTATATCTTCCTGATTCCGTTTATGCAAGTCACATATGTCTAGAAATTTGTCAATATAACAATAGGTTTCTACAGAAAGATGTCACTGTGATTCTATTTTCAAGGAGAAGTAGTCAGTGAATACCTAACAAAACCAATTTTGAAAATATATAATTGACTTTAACATACTTAATATATAAACAATGTATCTTAACTCCAAAGAACAATATTCTTTTAAACAGTAATAATTCAATTTAAATTATTATCTAAGTTAGGTCTGAAAGGAAAGTGAGGAACTAGGAGATGAGCAAGTGAGAAATGAAAGATGGAGACCAGGCAGAGATTCAAAGGAGATTTTATTTGTCAGAGCTGACAAATAAAGGCCCATCTCTCCATAGATAGAGAGAGGCAACACAGGCTTGAGTTCTGGGACTTTTGTGGGGCAGGCTCAGAGATTATTAGAGCTAGGCGGAGTGTTAAAGGTGGGGTTGGTATGAGGGAGTTGTGAGCCTTTCTCAGAAAGGCCCTGAAACTTTTTCTTAAAAATGACAGCTGTCACTTAAGATGGCTGTCTAGATGTTTAGCAAGGACCTTACAAGGTCTAACCTTGCAAACCGTTTAGTCCATGTTAACCATCATTTAGTGAAATTTTATTATTATTTTTGTATTTTCCCTTGAATTTTATAGAAAATTTCTTTTGATAATATGAGAAATTCAATGCAGTACTAATGCTTCCCTTATTAAATTCCATAAGTTAAGTATACTCTCTGCAAAAGCTTCAATTCTGTGAAGATATAGTCATTTTGGAGTATTTTAACAGAATGCTAAATGAATACTTAATAAGTATTATATATTCTAATTCGACCATGTTCATAAGAAAATGTGGCCTTCGGGTGCTGTCCACTGAGAAATTGAATATGGCAGCAGAAGAAAATTAAATTTTCATTTTCTAAGAAATACTCTTCAATTATGAAATAGTTTAGCTCACTTGCTCATGTTAATGCCTGTTACTAAACCAGGCACAGCTAATACCATACTATCCATTTCTCCAGGAGTTCTACAAACTTTCCTTCTGCATGGCTAATGCACAGATGAGAAGGCTAACTAAATAGTTAAATAAGATAAAATTTGTTTCCCTTTTTAACAGATTGACAGTTGTAAAATACTTGCATGTTCTAGTAACCAATGGGAAACTGTCCATTCCCTCCATTTTATAGCATTAGGGTCCACTAAATGTTCAATGAAGGTAATGATTTGTGTGACCCAGTTTCAGCAAAGGTAAAAATATTTCTAATAGCTGTATTCTAGGTTTACTCTGTATCAAATTATTTGTATAGTTTTATTCATGTAGTGTTATTATTCTGAAAATGCAAACTTGCATTTCTGTAATTTGACCACGTTCTTGTCCTGCTTGAGAGGGCAAATTGCATTTCTGTAATTTGACCTGCTTGAAAGAACAAACTTGGGTTTCTATAATTTGACCAAATTCTTTTCCTGCTTGAAAGATACTTTTGCTTTCTACCAGACTGGATCTTATACAAACATATTCTAAACAATCTCCTTAACAAGTATAGGGTATTTGGCAGGTGAAGTGGAGAAGGAGCAATTACTTTTGTGCTCTTCTGATTTTTTTACCCCTGAACGATAGATTCCACAAGAACTAGATGCTGAATTGAAATTGAACTTTTATTCAAAATACAAAAATGTATGTAAGATGCTATACCTCCTTGTTGTATTATCAAACCCAGTGAAATACCACAATGTTTATACACAGTTGTACATCTTTAAGATTTAAAGAAGATTGCCAGATCTTCTTCCAATTTTTTCACTACAGCAACAACAACAAAAAACAATTGTCTAATATATAAAATATATGTGTATATATCTAAAAAGCACTTTGAAATAATACCTAACAAAGAGTAAGCATCATATGGTTATTCTATTATTGTTTATTGGCTAAGTGTTCATTTTAAGTCCTAGTACTTATTTTGTGTTAATCTTATAGGCAGCTTTACATATACTTTTATCTGAACAGCTGAAAAAAAAAAAAAAAGCACTGTTCTCTCTTGAATTTTGCTCTCTTCCTTGTCAGTCTTTACTTAGGTGTGAGAGTATCTTTCTAGAATCAACATCAAATATCATAATACTTATTATGGAAATGCACCTTGCTGTGCTCTCATTCCATCTAATTTTTGTAGTCTCAGATTTCTCATTTTTGATCAGAGTACTGGAAATCAAAAGATGTGAAGTACTGCTCCATTTTGTAACCACCAACCATCCTGTTGCTTTGAAACTATTATCTATTAATAAAGCATTTTAGTTTCTTGTGTTTAAAAGACAAATATCATAAGCCATATGATTTTGTTCTTTAAAATGAATGCTCTCTTTTGGGTTTTTCTACAAAAAGTTTGATTATTTCTCGACTGCTTACAGATTTTATAATCTTCTACATGGGATATATATTTTTTTCTAACACTTGTTTCACATTTCTTCTCAGCTTTCATGCTTCTTCCCTTTACATGACTCTTGAACTTACTCAAATAGAGAGTTTCAAGTGTATGATGATATTATTTGTCTTTGTTAAAATAGGTATTCCTTTTGTCTTTAAAAATAGTGATGGGGCTGGGAAGTAGCTCAGTGATAGAGCTCAGTGATAGCATGCATGAGGACTGGGATTTGATCCCCATTACCTCAAAAAAGTAAATAAAAAATAAAAAGTAGTGTTGTGGCTTTTTATTTTAAAAAGTGAAAAGTACAATCTCCCTGTAGTGTTTTTTTGTTTGTTTGTTTTGTTTTTAAAAACCATTATAGTGATTGGTGAAAGACCTTAGTTCATATCCTCATATTCTGCCACCTGTTACCTGTGTACTTAGGTCAAGTTGCACAACTTTTCTAAACTTCTATTTGTTCTACATCTTAGAGAAAAATAATACCTATCATTTTGCTTTTTGAGATCATGATGGGAGGGATTAAATGGGATACTACAAGCACAGTGATTTTCATAGTGCCTGGGACATAGGAAGCATTCAAGATAGGGAGATGACAAAGATTATTTATATTAATAATTAGTCTATATTAAGAGGAAAGATATAACAATTGAATTACAACTATTTTCAGTGGGTTATCAAGGAAAATAGGTAAAACATGGATAAATGGAGATTATTTACATCTTTCTTTAACTTTGAACAAAACATCTTATGAACTCCAAGATTTTATTTCATTTTGATCTATATGGTTTGTCCTATGCAAGGTATTATAAATACTGGAATGAATAAATACTAGATTTAACTAATTTATGATTAAAGTAGCAGGGACTAATCTAGTTATTTAACCAAATTATTCCAAATACTACTAGTACGCAAACATAGAGCACCTATGATTACATGACATATAATATGATACGCAGTGTTGATAGTTTCTGCTCTACACTGCATGTCCACCCATGCCATCCCCATCTGAAGATTATTAGAGACTTTGCTTATCTTTTTAACAATATTTTGAAGTACATATTATAATTGCTGTTTTCCGCATGCAAAATTGAGGGTCAACAATTAAGCAACTCGCTCAAGTTCACCTGGATAAATTTCTCATCTTTGCCTGACCGGCCAGCCAGAGTATGAAACAAATCAAGTTGCTTTTAAGAAGTATAAAGAACCCACTACTGGTGTTTTCTTTTACTTTCCTATTTTAAATGAATCAGGATATTATATAATTCTACTTGAATCTAGATTCCACCTCTGCCACTTAATAGCTGAACGATCTTGGTCAAGTTATTTAACCTTCTGCCACTTAGTTTCTTTTTTTCTATTACCTGAGAATAATACTAATAATACCTGCCTAGTGGTGTGACATTTAAATTAATGTGGTGTTTAAACATTTGGGACAGTTCTTGATGTATAGGAAGCTCCTTATAAGTGCTCAAAAATAAACACACACACACACACCCTGAGCCATTGGGTGTGTTCTCTGAGACACTGGATTTTCTCACCTGTTCCTTTTGTGAGCTGTGTACCCTAGAACAATTCTATTTTCATGATCAGTGTTTACTTTTGGTATAAAACAAAATAAATAATATTAAATCCAAGTTAAAGTATAAAATGTGGTAGAATTCAATATTTACATCAATATGTTTGATATTGCATATAACCTGTCTGTTGAACTTATTTTTCCATAAGCATAAACCTGCTAAAACTGATTTTCCATGATCAATCCTCTTCATATCTGGGCTTGTTTATAAAAATTATTTCCTTCTAGTTCTTCTTAAGACATCAGAAATATTGCTGATATAATTTTAGTAACTGTCATAGATATAGCTCATTTAAAGGCATAATCTATTGCCTAAAAATTTATATTTATAAGCTGTATTTATCAAAAGGCAATATCTTATAAAAAGGAAAATGTTTATTCTGACCAGTATTTATGATTTCTTAAAAATTAATAAACATCTTTCCTTTTTAAAAGTGTATGTGTTAATGTAGGCATGTTGGTTCATAATTGTCACTAGAAAGATTGGTGATACAATTCATTGGTTTGGAGGAGATTCCATATTAACCAATATGGTTCTAGTGTGGAAACCATTTTTAAAGTTAATATTCTGTTTATTACCACTACATTTAATGTTGTTTTTCTTTTTACAAAATTGGTGCACATTTATGTATAACCCATTAAGTCCATAAAAATTAAAAAATTAAAAGCCACTTTTATTTTGTTTAAAAAACTCTTCATTATAAATGCCTACAGTTTTTAGAATGTGATATTTTACTCAGTTTCACTGATCAGTGATGATATTTTGATAACACCCTTATTTATGTTCTCAAAGTTAGTTTAACTATGAAGACACATATTTAATGTGATAGTTGTTGTGGAGTTGAAATGCTGAATGCATTAATTTTATAGCAGAACTTGTCTCTTATTTAACCCTGCCCATGGTAGAGTGTGGATGAGCAGCATAAATTGACCAAAATACTAAGTAAAAAATAAAATACATTGGATAAATTTATGATTATTACCAGCTTGAAAAATCAAACATAGTAGATACTAGGTCAAAAGATTTTGAAAGATACTTGTTTATAAGATTTACATAGTAATTAATGATTCTTGATCTCAAAATTCATTTATTCGACTATATCTTGCAGTTTTGTCTGTATCATATTTTTTCTAACTCATGAAATTAAATCTTATTCTGTTACATCATGTCTTTGATTCCCCCTGTTTTTAAAAGAACAATCAAATGCTTCTTGCAATCAAAAGCCAAGTTTAGCAGTGCATGGTGGTGCTGCATACACTTGTAATCCTAGCTGCTAGGAAGGCTCAGACAGGATGGTTGCAAGTTCAAAGCCAGCCCCAGCAATGGCAAGATGCTAAGCAATTCAGTGAGACCCTGTCTCTAAACAAAATACAAAATAGGGCTGGGGATGTGGCTCAGTGTTTAAGTGTCCCTGAGTTCAATCCCCAGTACCCACCCCTGAAAAAAACCAAGTTTTAACATAATTTACCCTCTACAAAATAGAGGTTTTGAATCAACATATTTAACGGTTAATTCTTGTCCAAAGTAACAAGATTCTGTAACTAAATACTTTCCCCCTATGTTTTCCAGGTTCACAGTTGAACAGGAAATTGACTTAAAAGACATTTTGAAGGGTCTTGGAATAACTGAAATTTTCATCAAAGATGCAAATTTGACAGCCCTGTCTGGTAAGAAATGAATACCAACTTTTAAGAAACATTATTCTTTACAGAATAACATAATGCTTTTAAAAACAGGATTATTAAATTTTCTATTTACCATGGAATTCAGAAGTAAAGTTCAGCTACCACTTGCCAAGTAAATCTAGCAAGAAGTTTATTTAACTTCTTCAAGTAAAACTATGAATACAGTTATAACATTAAGTTTGTATTATGTGGTGTATGTCTTGTCTTTGATAGTAGATCATATTCTCCAGGAGATCATCCCTTCTGACACAATGCCTTGTAGAATCAATAAGTGTGTTGATTGAATATCTCAATATGTTCCAGTGTAATGAATCATAGTAAAGAGAAGAAGAGAAAAGATAAATGAGTGCCCCCTGCTGTAAGGACTAGACCAAAGATTCTTTTTAAAGAATAAAGAATACCCAGTGAGATGATGTAAACCTTTTTCTGAGTCTTCAATAAAAAGCAGTGTTTTTGAAGAAGTAACTTCAAAGTACATAGGCTCACTGAGGTGTTGAGTAATTTATTCTAAATACCCCAAGGAAAAATCAAGTTGAATTACTGGATTCAGAACCTTAACTTGTTCCGAGTAAAAACTAATGAAATGTTGGTAACATTAAAGCATTTAGACTGTGTAATTAAAATAATTTTGGATGTGTTTTTAAGTGGCTAACCCCAAGGAGCTTATCATTGGAAAAAAAAAAGCAGTAGTGAGCTTAAGGCTTATATTATTTTATATCATTTCTTTGGAAGGCAGGAAAAATAGAATCTGGTTTCTGATCGTATAAGGATAGTTATATAGTAAGATCAAGCAACTCAATTTGCATGTCCCCTTTATATGCAATTTAATTGAACCCTCTTCTTCATTTAGAGAGCATGCAGGTAATAGATGTTTTTTTGGGTTTTTTTTTTTGTTTTTTTTTAGCAGTTCCCATGTTACAAGGAAGAATTTAGGCTATAAACAATTAAGTTCACCAAACTATAGCTTCTAAACCTCGACTGAATTCAATGAAAACAGATGCCCCCACTTCTGAAATTGCTTAGGGGGCACATACATATGTGTGTGTGTGCACACGTTCGTGTGTGTGTGCATGTGCGCATGTGCACACACTTTTGTTAGCATGCATGCATATGAGAGAGAGACAGAGAAGGGGGTCATAGCTTTTAAAAAATGCTCAAGGAGTATGTGATCAGATAATCCCTTATCCTCCCGGATTTTGTATTGTGTAGATTGTTTTCTAAGCAGCATGCAGCTTCTGGCAGTGAGTTGATACTGATGTATTTGGTACCACAACTTCTATCTACCTTTCATTCAGAGAGCTTACAGCCCTAAGCACTAATGGAGCTTTTCTAAATGTCTATGATATAAATGTTCCTGTCTACAAAAGAGAAAAGAGTTTTTCCTGAGTAAAGTTTTCATGACTCATATCCAAGTTCTTAGGGCTTGGAACTCCTCATTGGGGTTGCCAAGAAGGTAGGACTGTTGGAGATTCAAAAGATCATATGGTGTCTCTTAGCTGAGTCAGAAATACATTAATAGTTGAAGCACAGCACAACTTAAAGTTGGAATGCTCTCTTCCTCAGGAATGAAGAGAATCTGTCTTACAATACTGGCCAAATTCCAACTGGATAATTATATTCTCCTTTCTCAACATTCTCTCTATTCAGTTTGATTAGTGATTCCTCACTGCCTCACCCAAACATTCAGGCAGTTATTTTACACAAATACAATATCTTCTGCCTCTCTGTCCTGAGGGAGTAGCACTGCAGCGGCAAATCAATTATTGTGGTCAGTGTACCTTATAATTTCCGACATATTTGGAAGGTTTATAAGGTAATATTTAATTGCCTTTACTATGTACAGAGACAATGGACCATAAATATGCAGTATGAATGCAGATGGTTTGGAGATTTGAAATGACACTAGAATCACTCAGAGAATTTATATATTCTCTATGCAAAAAAAAAAAAAATCTGTTTATTTGATCAAATCTCCATGAGGATCAAATCCTGCCCAGTGTCCTGTTCACAGATCCTGTTCTGGTACCTGGCACAGGGCTGACACACACATGGCACACAGCAATGTTTACAGAAGGATAAAATGAATGGAGGGAAAAAGGGAAAAGTTTTCTTTGCACACATCTTAAACATTACATTTATTAGAATATTTGTCTCCTTATAATATCACTTATAAATCTAGCATTTGATATTCTTAAGCACCATCCAGTTCAGATCTTCAGGATCACTTGAAAGAACAAAAGCCAATCTCTCAAAATTTCAGCAGGAATTATTTGATATGTATGTTATTAGCTTGATCAGAGTGTTGGTAGCTCTAGCAGTGATGATCATTCCAACTAATACATGTAGCTTTTCTTTTCTGTCCCTTTCTTCCTCTCTTGCTCTTTCTTTCTAATTAATTTTTGAATAATTCACTCAAAAACTATCTACTGTCCCAAGTATAAAATTTCCCTCTCTACTTCCTCTAAATTTGATAGCATTTATCTCTGCATCATTTATTTGGACACCAAATGCTCTGCCTGTGCTAGTTAGTATCCTAACTAGTATATAGCTCGATTGTTGCCTCTCCAAATAGCATGAAAACTAAGTAACATGAAAACTTATAATTCTAACATAACCTACCAAACTATCCAGGAAAATGATTTGCATGCATTTGGTTATTATTTTTTTTAGAGAGGATTTGATGGTGATGAGGATATGTAACATTAATTGCCTTCCATGCCGTTTATTCCTTTCATTAAACAACTGCTAGAGAGGCAGGTAGATGAGAAAAGTGCTATATAAGGAAAAAGAAAAAAGAAATGATTGTGATGTCATGCCTGACATAAAAGGTTTGAAGGACTTATGGTAGAAAGACATAACAGCTGGGTTTAATAAAATTAAGACTGATACACATGTTTTATTGAAACAGTGGTTCTCAACAAGGATGATTTCTTTTCCCCTGCCCCACACTCCCAGGGAACATTTGTCCTTTTTGGCTATTACAATTGGGGGATTTGTCTACCTACTGGACACATTGCCCTAAACTTTTGCAATGCTTGGGACAGGTTCCTTAAAACAAAAAATTACCAATACAAAATGTCAATAGTAAAGAGGTTAAGGAGCCTTCCATGAGAGCATGCATAATGGAAGCAGAAAAGAAGAAAATTAAGTGGAAAATGGGAGCTTTTGAATCAAAGGCAGAGGAGAGTATGTGTATGCATGTGTATTGGTTTTTGAATGAATAGGACATTTTCAAACTGTGTTTCAAAAAGTGATAACAGCAGTTGCCTCTAGAACAGGAGCTTGTTAGATGAGAGCATTTTCATTTCATACATCACTCTTCACTGGGATTTTGCCTTGTGTGCATATTACTTTTTCAATTAAAATTCTTAGCTAAAAACTAGAAAAGGTGTTTTAATATTATATTAATGGAATTAATATAATTGGTATACTTGAAAGCACCCAGTGAACAATTCAGTCCTACCATGACATTGATACATTCTTCAATTATATAATGAAAATTTTATCTTTCTTCCAAAGTAGCAAATGTGATTTAGAAAATGGAGAACAAAAACTGCTTCACCTTCTCTTGCTTCCTGAAAAATGGAATGACTTGAGTTCCTTTGCTAAGACTTCTGGGATCCACTCTATCATGAAATTGCATTCCACTGCATCCACTCTTATTTCAGACTCTTATTACCCCTGCCCTGGACTATTTCAATAGCCTTCTAATAGTTTCCAATCTCTCTCCAGTCTAATATGTCTCATCCACCACTACTAAGAAAATTCACCTTAAGACCTACCCACTCTCAGATCATTCCAAGTCTTGTTCAAAGCCTGCTTTGGTCTGCAGTGCCATCCACTGCTCCACAGGGCCTGAGACCTCAGCTCCCTCCAGCCTTTTTTTCTGGCTGATTCTTCACACACTACTTGTGCTCCAGCTCTGTGTCTCCCCAGCTCCCCACGGTTATGAAATCTCCCCTGTCTGAAATACTTTCTTTTTCTTCCTTTCTTTGTACCAAGGGTTGAACCTAGGGGTACTCTACCATTGAGCTACATCCCCAGCCCTTTTTACTTTTCGTTTTGACACAGGGTCTCACTAAGTTGCTGAGGCCGGCACAGAACTTGTGATCCTCTTGCCTCAGCCTCCTGAGTCATTGAGATGAATTATATATGCCACCCTGCCCAGCTCTGAAACACCATCTGAACTCAGTCTCAGCTGAAGTATCCCAACTTCAAAATCAAGCTACCATGATTATACCAACCAGAAGTAATCACTCATTAAATTCCTGATATTTTGTACCTTTCTTTATGGTGCATATCACATCTTATCTCATATTATTGTTACTTTTGTGTTTAACATTCCCTGATAGAATTTAGACAACCCAAAGATAGATTCTTATGCATGTTTCCTCAGAGTCCCCCACAGTGCTTCCTGCTTAGTTCTCACTGAATGGAGAAAAGAATAAGATGAGATGCTTCATATTTTTTATGTTTATTTCTTCATTTCAATTTGATATACGTTGCTTTTGATGCTAAATTCCATTAACATAAAACACAGTAAATACTCATACAGTAAACAGAGAGAGTGCTGAGAATCGTTTTCTTCTCAGGCTACATTTAAAATGCTCATCTAGTTGCGGTGAGGATCCTGCTATAGAGTGGGGCTATTTTTGTAATGGAAATGAATGACTGTCAGCATTTGGATTAATAGGTAATCCTCTTGGAAGGTGTAAGGGGAAAGAGAAAGTGAGTACTAAATCCTTCAGCATGAAGTATGAGCTTTAATAAAGAAGCCAATAAAATAAAGGAATTAAGAAGACAAAGAGAAAGCCACATTCAGGTCAGGCTCAAGTGCTGTGGATTTACGCTGGACCAGCTCCTACATCCTGCCCTTGTTTGTTCTCTTTCTCCTTGCACCTGAAGCCAGAGGGTTCGTTTCTCTTTCATTGCTACAATTCCAGTTCTGCTTCTGCCTTCTTGCCTGAGCTAGTGCAACAGCT